GAATCTCCAGTATCTGCACCATGCTTAAAGAACTGTAACTACGCTGGAGCGGCCACCTCGGGAGGAAGGGCGATGAGTGACCATAGAAACGACACTTCTATGGCCTTGTCGTTACGGGTGCTCGTCGACAAGTTCAAACTCGCCGCCACAAGGTCAATTTGAAAGATTCCTTGAAGCAATTACAAATTAACATGAAGTCCTGGGAAGGCCTTGCACAGAATAGACCGTCCTGGAGAAGAGTAGTGAAGACTGAAGCAGCAATCTACGAAGGCAAACGGACCGCGGATGCCAAAAAGAAAAGAGAAGTTCGCAAGTCCCAAACGCCACTGCCCCATAACGCCAATTTCTAACCCTCCCCCTACATGCCCGCACTGTCAACGAACATTCAGCTAGCAGATTGGCCTCGTCGAACACCGAACTCAGAGCACCAACAGCCCGATAACCCCAGACGCTACCTTCCCAACACCCCCAGCGCCAAGTATCTTGGTCGTTCACGACGTAGACCACCCTCACACCCGATAATCGCAATTCCGATTCCGCATCCCCGTCGATCACCGTCATATCTATCATACCTGCCACAACCTCCGCGGCGACGACGACTATCGCCGCTCCCACTCCAGTCAACGATCAAGACGCTGCCGACAACCCGCTAACCACCACCCCCACCCTAGCGATGTGGGCTCGGTCCCAAGTTGTCCCCATTGCGATCGTACATTCACCCCATGGTCACTTGCGAATCCATCTCACAGAGACTGGCAAACCAGTGCCCGAAGCATCAACATATGCCAGATCCCATCGCCTTGATTGCCCGCATTGTCCTCGCACATTCTGTCGTCGCGTTAGTTTATTCGGTAGCGTGCGCCTCCATGAAAACTTGTGAAAAATCACAACAGACATACCAACATCACCACACATTCCCCCATCAACACACTCACGACATATGAACACCTCCAGCATTCAATAAAACCGTCACCTCTCACACAAATGAGAAACGTGCTCTTCGGCTCCTTGCTCCATTCAGCCACTCTGCTGCATGTAAGATGCGAGCAATCTACTCCCTGTTTTTGAAATCCTGGTGCGTGCGCATGGGGTGCCAGGTGTTCCGTGTGGCACGCGCAGACGAACTGTTCTCAGCTCTGTCGGCCACCTCTCCTGAATTTAAGCATCAGTTAGTTAGGCTATCCGGATTGTCGACCGACGCACAAGAGTGAGTTAGATCGAATATCAGACACGACACGATTGAGACTATCTCGGTACGTTAAAGCGTAGCTTGGAAGGTTGCCCAATTACGCTTCAATTCGAACCACGCAGTCAGCCCAGTTGTGGGTTTGTGTTTTGAGTGGCCGAATGGTTGACCGAAAGTCGGATTGAGATGCCTCCTTCTCAAAGGCAGTCTTTCGCACATATGAGATCCGGACCGTTTTTCCCCTTTGAGTGTGTAATCTTGGTGTGTGCGTTTGGGGGCCAGGTCGCGTATATGGTGCGCGCAGACGGACCCTCTAGCTCTGTCAGCCACTGCGCGCACTTGCCGCGTCAGACAACTGACCGGCTCGGACAGCAAACTGGTGTCTGGGACTGGGAAGAGCAAAGTTCATAGTCTCAGCGCATACTCTTAACTACGATCTAACGCGCTCGAATCTGTCATGGTACCCCAAAGGTTGCGATTTGGAAGGTTGCCAACTGGCGGGATAACTCGATCCTCGCGGTCAGTTCAGTGTTTGTTTATGTGGGGTGGGAGTCAGGCTGCAATGGTCGCTTCTTAATGTGACCTCCATGGCAGTCCAACTCTGCTGAATCCGATCAGGTGTGGTCAAACATGCTATGGTGCGGATTTTCTCCGTGACAGCCATCTGAGCCCTCTTCCGCCCCCTCCCCCCGTCTTATGGGCTCTATCATGACACTCTGTCCAGCAAGGCGACGAGAGGAGAGCGAGGTGGATGCTCTCCAAGTCGTATACCACTATAAATGTGCATGTCACTGTTTTTGTTCCAACCCTGCTCTGAAGCACACGGTGGACATCGTCGGTGACGACGGTCTGCCTGTCGTGGTGGTACATTCGCCATTGTCATAAGTTTTGCTTTATATAAAACTAAAACTGCAGGAGTACGAATTATTAGAGTATGGAAAGTTGGTTCGCAGGCATTGACATTAGAAGTTGGTTGTTCTTCCCTTTATTAGAGGCTCCCTGCATTTCTTGCAGAGACTTAATAGACTGTCAGGATCTTAGGCAGTGGTCGCATTCGTTAGTAGTTAGGGGAACGTTCTTGCCTCCGTAGAGTATTTCATTCTCCAAGCGCTGGTATAAAACACAGGTTTTTGCAGGGAGATATCTAAAGTAATCATGCGGTAGAGGGACCCTCACCGATCGTGTTACGGAGCTCATTCATACTGTTGTGGCTTAGGACTCTCTCTCTAGAGCCCAATCAGCAACCGCACAGCGGCGCATGATATGGGGAGAATGACATTACCGACAAAAACAAGGGAAAGTGCAACGACCGATTCTGGCTTATTAGCCGTCGTCAGCCAGTCATACTCAACCCCGAGGTGTAGAACACTTGGGGCGCGATCCCGCGACCTGTTAATTAGAAGTCCAACGCCCTTAACCACTGAGTCACGGCTCCTTGTCCTACCATTATATGCCCGATCGCAACCAACTTCCCTTACGTTTTACCTCTCTCTTACATGGCCTATGCTAATACCATTTATGTTTAGGGGAGTTAAAGGAGCCTGAAGGAACCGGGATGAGGCGTCTGGTGAGCCGAGATCCCTGCGGATCTTTGTGCAAGTTAAAGGGATCTCCGAGAGCGCAGCCAATTCCTGCGAGCTGCGTGAAATAGGTCGCTCACAGAACTGAACCAGACCTCCGTCAAGAGGTGATGCAGCCAAATGATAATGAAATTTTAGTAGTCCCGGGAATAACATGACTTCCATATCGAACTTAATTTACAGACCATATGTGAGGATCTATTACTTTTTGATCATATTCTGACGATTTTGTTTCCTATTCAGAAGGAGTTCAGTTATGAATTGTGGTAGATAAAAAACTCAGAGCTTACTTAACAACCGTCAAAAGGTGCACAAAAATTTGGCGATTGATCTTACAGCAAAACGTCTCTACCATAGTTGACTTTTAGGCTATTAAACCAGAAAATACGACTACAAATTAATTGCACTATGACTTGTCTACAGATTGAAGCCTGATTTGCGCGCACAGATGCATGTAATCGTTAGTAATCTAAGCGATATAAGCGCCAACAAGTGGCGTTTAATTCAAAGCTTTCCCTTTTTCAATCGAATTACCGACGTCCTTCGTATTCTGAAAACTCCGCTATAAAGAGCAGACAATCATTCCTCTTTTTGTGATATGAGGATAAACTGGCTGACGACAATATCCAGTGCTACAGTCTTCATTAAACCGGCTCCCTGTGTTTTTCAAAAACTTTCGTTGGGTCCCGTCTAGCCTGCCGGTTTCGAGTAAACAAATGCCCCGCCAGTGGCCAGCATGAAAAAGTATGCCCTTTTAGGGTGGATGCACAGGGGGAACACGTCAGGTTTCCTTATTACCGTATGAGCAGCCTCTACGCGGCATACAGGGAAATGGGCTACTGGAGCATCTAGCGAAAGAAGAACACGTTAATCGTGAATCTGCCCTATATGGTATAAGTTCCCAAATTTTAGGAGAGAGCGATCCCTCGAGACTGCTTCACTTAAGTACGCGGCAAAGCCAATATACAATAGTACCTATCGTCATGACAACTTACTGATTTAATAACTTTTTTTAAATCAAACGTCAGATGCCAAAACATATATCGTTTAATATAAAATTCTTTAATGCTCTTGCGCTTCCGACTTTTTAATCAACAAACCGGCTTTCGAGGTATTCCACAACGGCTTACGTACTAATTGGCATTTTATAAGGTGCCCTGACTAACAAAAAGGTTTTGACAACATCCCTACAAGGCTCTCCTAGCCTAGCTAAATACGCACTAAATTTTTGGAAAAAATCAAATGAGATAATATAAGACGGCTTGAGGCCTGAGAGCGTGATTTAACGAACAAATCCTTGAGAGTTTCTCAAGGTGCCACATTCACTTGTACATTTGTTGAGAAGTAACAATTCATGCAAGTTAAATGGGATGGGATATTTTATATAAAACACTCCCTTACTTCTAGACTGAACAAACCCGACTCCTAGCAGGGAAGTTATTTCAACGTCCTTAGCCCGATTTTCACACGATTTATTTTTTCCCCGCTAATAACTAGTTTTGAAAGTTTCATGGGTCGATCATTAGTCATGGTAAGAATGCGCGGAGATAGACGGTTCTCCTAACATCGACATTGTGCACACAGAGGCTCACGTACGAATTTTCGGTTGATCTCAATCGTTCTTCTAGATCCATGGTCAAATCCTACACAAACGGATGAAATGATCCGCCTTGCTTATCTTAAACGTGACTAAGCGGTTATTTCAAACGGATGGCTTTTAGTACTCTCAGCAATATGGACGGAAAGATTATGCAAAAGAGAAGATGGATCCCCTGGCCACAGTCAGAGTAGTCCATACCAATTTTTCTCATTCTAGCAGGCAATATAAAAGTAGTTCTGACAGGAAGCAATTCAAACAGGCTTAATTTTGAAACGTACATTGTAATTCTTGGAAGATTACATAATGCATGCCCTAGGGCTAGTAAGCAGACGGTTCATCAAGCACTCTTGTACGTTGCACTAGAACTGAAACCTGGCCTGGCAAGTAATACGACAACTTAGGTGCAAAAATACCCTATAAGACATTATGACACTTAAAAACGACATTCTCCTTTCACAAAGGAATATTTTTTCACGATTATAGTACGAAACAAAGGTCTGATATGCTCGCCCTCCTTACATGGGCGGATTAGAATTTTTCGTGCTTGAAAATTCATTTGGCATAGCAATGATTTTTTTATCAGAACAGAAGAGGTCTGTTATGCTTGAACAACTCCATGGGCTCTTGGCTTCAACTATGTTGTCTTCGTTGCTCTAAAATATCAAGCAGACATAATCAAGTGATTTGGTGATAAACGAAAATGTCATCATATAATTTATGCGCTGCACATACGCTTTTCCAACTTTCAGTCTTGTCGAAAGTTCCGTCATGATGTTGGCTGACCTCTGATGTTCCAATGCCAGAAGGTCTACAAGTTCTATTATTGCACTCTCAATTTGTGGCTGCAAAGGACAATACGCGCACTCAGACTTTAGATGAAAGCAAAACCTATTATTTTTCAATCCATGCAGCCGGAATACTTCAACATTTAAAAATTTCGGCAGAAAATCTGCACAATCTAAATACTGATCGCTCCGTAATAAGAAAGGAAGTAACCACTAAATGTCTTACGTAGGCATTATCCAGTTGCTTGATAACTGCGGATACTCTGGCTGCTTGACCATCGAATTGTTGCTTCTTCAACTTCACCTCTGCTTCCGCCTAATAGTGTTCACAGCAAAAGGTAATTCGCTTAAAGTTAAAGTTTCCAAACAAGCAATGAAACTTTTACAATTTGCAATTAATATAACAGAAAATTAGATAAAAAGATATCTTTTAAGTATAACTTACTTTCTCCTTTTTATCTACCTTGCTGACTTTCTCACATTTCTTCAAGGCGTTTTCATAATCGGTCTTGCATGATTCATGTGCTTTTAGTTCTTTCTACATGGAATAGAACACCTCTGGTGAATCATTTTGTAGACAGATAAACTTCGTTTATTGTGTGTTTGTGAAATAGATAGGGCCGACTGCACTCAAACCGCCGTTTTCTTAAGTGAATAGTAATTTGCCAAAAAACTGCAAACATATTTCGTTAACAAGGTAAAGAACAGTTAAACCTGACAGTTTCAATGGGTAATGATCATTTTCAAATGCGAATATAAACAAATGGCAAAGATATAAAAAACCCTCTTTGAATGTTCTTTCAGGACTCCACTCTGTTTTCTTACATCTAACTCATTCAAACCTGGCCCAACTTCCAAAATAAAATATAATATTTTTCGCCGAAATAATAAAGCCAATGTTGCCGAAGTACTATTTCTGTATTAAACGGGATTCCCTGAAAATTATAAAAAAGCTTGTCGATAAATATAAGCACAATAGCCATGTAAAAATATAAATCGGCGAAGTTGCACTTCTCTTTCTAACTGGAACGTTAGATTAATAATAAACAAAGTAACTCACCAGGTCTATATAGATCGGGAAAGTTAGTGACTTTTATTATATCGTATGAAAAATAATAAAAAACGTATAAAAAGTGGTTTTTGAAACATAATGCGCAGGCAATATTTACTGAGAGTGTAGGATACGTCGTCTCTAAAAACGCGTCGATTACTGACAAAACCTTTGCAGCTGTCTCAGAAGTAAATGATAGCTCCTCAGCGGCAAGCTCTGAAGTTGCATTACTGACAGCTGCCATAGTTTTCTCTAAATATAAAACAAGCAAATGGTGAAAAGCGTTATCATTTAAATTGCTAGAGAAAAGTTTAAAAATGTTTGGTAAACAGTTTGCAGCTTTCAAATATGGTTTCCATTAAAATTAAAACGTACTCAATGAAGGCTCCGGAAACAAATCCGCAGCCTTCTGTTCTGCGGTGGCCAGTTCTGACAAGGGGGTATCTTGTTTGTGGCTGCCTTTTTTTGCTTAAGAAAAAAAATGCACAGTCTCTTGTGAAAATGTTATAACTGACAGAAGGTGTTAATACCGATCTGGGACTTAAACCGAAAATTACAAATTTTTTCAGCACATAACTGGATTCAACTGTAATTAGGTCGCCTTTATTCAAGAAGACTATAGTCTATAGATTCTTGTCAAAAAGAGGAATTAGATAAGCAATTTCGAAAGGATGTTTCAAGCAGGATATTTCAGTTTACATAAAATAATAAAAAGTAATCGCGATTACGCAAGGACTTCGACCTATGATCGCTTTACGTTTATTTAGAACACGTGGATCCAGATAATGCTTGACTATTGTTGTCTATGTAAATAATAGTTTATACGATGCATAAATGCACATTTTTCACGTGACAAATATATACATATATCACACAAGTGCTTAATTAAGTACTTAAATGATATAACATCTACCACTTTAGTGATAAATATTATTTCCAGAGCTCGCCAATTAACCGCGTCTTGGTAGAGTGCCGCATGCATATCAGCATCCAAGAGGTACCTATAAACTGACTAGTGGGTATCGAGTCAACGTAGACTCAAAATCATTTCAAAGGCATTTGCTGCTATATATATATATATATATATATATATATATATATTGCTGGTGATTGACGGCTACTCAAAAACTTTGTTAAAGCGTACCACGACTATATCTTACTTAGTGGTTTTCCGAGCCATGCCTCCAACCCATCTCGGATCTTCCTACAAGCCTTCTGTGTGTTCTCGAGCTTTTGTAAGTCCGACATACTAGCGTAGAATCAGGGCTGCAATTAGAACTATATATGTACCAACTCCTGTGTAAAGTGAGCTCGGTTTCGTAAAACAATTCAAGGTCAGAAGGGTCAATGTTAAGAAAACCGTCGTCGTTCTTAATTTTTCCCATTCAGAGGAATTCTTCAATTAACCGATACAGTTGGAAAATCATTAAAAGACTAAAAAGTGTCTAGTAAAGACCTGGGGATGCGGACAGTTGGACGGGAACGCTGAGCTGTATAGGCAGCGTTATCTTAGAGTATCAGTGAGAGTCTAAGGCAATTAACCATAAATATACATCAGCGTGATGTAGAAATTACGTATCATAGCCAGTTATTGAATAGAAAACCATTAAACTAACAAAGTGATGCTCTATCTGCTTGTGTATTATTATTACCTTCACCAGGCTTGGGCACAGAAGGATTTAAATCGGATAATTCCCCCACTCTCACTGCGACCTACTTTAACAGAATCATAGAAACTCTCTTTAGGTACATATGAAAACTAAGAGCTAAGAGCATTCAAGAGGCAACACAAACGCAGCATTTGCAGTGTTAACACACCATGGACTTTGCCTCTTTAATTGACAGAATCATTTGTGCGCAACGCCTGAATATGCATACTTCGGCATCTGTTGGAATTGTCAATATGCTTCGAGCATTACGCATTTTGCTAAGGGCGTTTGACTGCAGGCATTTGGTTCCATCAGTGTTGTTTAAGGTGTACGTATATTTGCGCACACCCTTTGCGATTTGATGTACTGGGTTATCACGGCCGCATAGTCTAATTTGTTTTGTATTTAAATAGCCCCTTTGCAAACGAACTCAATAATGACATCCATTTGTCCAAAGTGCGTAAAAAGTATGGGCTTGGTCTCGTTGCTCGGGTTCAGTTCAAGTTTTCGAGGAATAGATAAGTGACAACATTAAGCATGCATCAGCTGCTCGTAAAAATATAGAATAGCATTATATTTCAAACGATAAACCGTCACCACTGACCGCTTTTATCGTTGATTTATTGAGAATTATACTGTTCTCTATTTTATGCTTCATAGCCTCATTATCCAATTCAGATTTATTCACAGTTCTGTTTTGCCACCCGTTTTTTCAAGTTTGCATTCCGTTATTGAGTAAAATTTTCTAAGTATAAATTGTGCTGTCTGGTCCACCAATATTGACAGCTGTCAGAAATCGTTTCATCATACATTGTCTCATTCATATATCCTCGAAGTTTCGCAGTTATCATTTATATAAATATTTCGGCATAAGTTTTGTATTGCTTTTTCGACACGAAACCTCAGGCAACCCTTCGTCGGAATCTGAAGGAAACTAAACTTCATTTGAAACCCATTCTTCATATGAAAAAATTGATCTAGGGACGCTTGATGATTTTAACAATTTTATGGCTCGTTATTGATCAATTTTTTCTGTTCCTGGTCCCCTTCTTGACGGAAAGTTGACAACGCTTACGTCTCAGCAGTGTGAGAAGTTCATGCCTCTCATTAACCTGGTTGCTACTGAGACCGAAGACAGGCATAAACGAAGTTTCAATTTATATTAAAAAAAGTTCCTAAGGGTAGACAGCCAATCGATGTCGCTTTTCACTTCCTTTATTCATGGGGTTTCAACTTTAGGGTCGCTGAAGCTAAAAGGCTTTCATCTAGGAGCAAAATTCACCAATTCTTGTCAAACTCTTTTCGTCGATAGAGGTGGATTTTATTTTCTCCCATTTGGGGCGCTCGACTCAATATCTCAGGGGAAATAAACTTTTTATTAGTCGAGATCAAACTCCACTGCAACGAAGAGTTTCTCCCCCATTGACAAACGTAAAGTCACGCCCGAATTCTACTCATATGCATTTACCTCTAAGCAGTTTCTCCATTGGGCGTCGACCAAATCTCCCCACTATCTACAGCGGCCCCAGTTCCATCTAGATCTTCAACTGATCACATTATCACAGAGACAGTTAAAACTAGCCTCTTTAAAACTCCCCCACGAAGCAAGGATTGTTCAAATGCGGCTCCCAAATTTACTAGGGAGCTTGATCTTAACAGTAAAAATGAGCCAGTCCTTGAAGCGCAACCGACTCCCAGCACTCAGAATACTGATTAAAATAATGAACTTACATCGAATTCACCCCGTTCCCCACCTGGCCACTCAGGTCTGACCTCGTAGTTAGGCCCAATAAGCTAGATGATAGTTCAGGGAGATCTTAAGCTGTTCCTATCCTGAATTCTCAAATTAACGCCCCAGTTGTGAAGCCCTCTTGCACACCAGACTGTAAAATGCAAGTATATAGCATTGCTGATAACTTTTCCAATCCTATTGCTAGTCTGACACCCCAAATTATAAAGCCCTTTCCTGATGTTAACTGTTTCCCGAAACCATTACGACCGCTACCTAACATAAACTACCCCTCATATTATGCTAACAATTCCCAAAATCTTATTTTGATGCCTAATATTTTTCCAACCCAACAAAATAGCTTTCCTCTTCCTGGGTCCTCCTCAAATGTTTTTCCACATAATACTGCATATCTAGTTAGTAATTACCCCACAAATTTTAGACCGCAGCAACTTTGTCCTCCACCAATTGCTTCGTTCCAACAGCTTAATTTTCCACCCCCGGCTCTTCCTTTTTTATAAGTAGCAATGAGCGGAACCTACATATTAGGAATACGCACAGTAGTGTCTCTCTCAACGCTAGATCTGCTGTGCAAAAGATGGCACACCTAAGAAGTGTAGCTGTTGAGTTTGACACAGACGTATTGTGCATTACAGAATCGTGGGCACACTCACTAATTTCAGACTCGGCACTCAATATAGATAGCCTCAGTTTATACCGCAAGGATCGTGCCGAGAGACGCGGAGGTGGATGCCTTCTTTACATAAGAGCCTCACTTGCACAATCACCCTATGACTTGAACATTTCCTCCTTTTCTGGAAATTTATGTTTTGCTTCGAAAATCCTTCCGCAAAATAGGAAAGCCTCAGTCGGATGTGTATATAATCCTCCTTGTTCCTCCGGAAATGAAAGCAGACTCTGTGAACACGTTGAAAAAATTGCAGAAAATTCTTTCGATGTCAAGCTCATCGCAGACGATTTTTATTTGCCAAAAATTGACTGGCACACACATACTTCTCCTCCTAAATTCCAGAAGCTGCTTGACACCATTTACTTTTCAAACTTACCTGAATTAGGTGACTTAGTTGTGCAAATGTGGACTTAGAAACTACAAACAGGAATATATGCAGAAAAAAACTAACTCCGAATGGGGGAATTGTGTTTACCAACAAAAAGGAACGTACAGATTGAAAGAACCAGACAAGGAATGTTCTAGACTCCCGTAAAGTAGAATCCTATCAAGTAGAGAGATAGTGTCCCGATGAGGAACTGCTTGAAGGAAGGCTCTAGGTTCCGCGATGATACGTCGAAGTCGGCTTTGAGGAGGAAGTCTCCGTCAGCACGTACGAATTACTAAGAGTATTGAGAGGTGACAAGCGCACGCCAAGAAATAACGACGTCAAACACACTCGAAACCAGAACACATGTTGACCGCCGTAGCGTTGTTCATGTGTATTTTCCATTTAGTCAAACAAATGTACAGGCAGGTCAGGTGTACAAGAAAATGTAGTGAAACAAATCAAAAGTGTATAAAAGCCTACACAACTCCCCCACCAGAGCGTTTGCCAAAGAAACAAAACGCTCGATAAAATAAAACGGGAAAAAAATTACACTACAAAGTCTTTAAGTCTGGCGGGAAAACGGATATGTCTACCGGAGCGAGATGAAATAGGCGGTGGTGTAGGAGGAGGATCCGGTTGGGTGGGTAGAATGGTCAAGTGTGGTGATGGAGGGTAGGTGAGCGGAGTGGGTGTTTCGGGTGAGGACGTAGTAGGGGCAATGGATGGCGCACTGGTCGACGGGAGGCACTCCAGATGGGCTGGTTCAAGGCGGTCAATGGAGACCGTGTCGGTCTTATCAGCCTTTTGAAGGACGTAAAACTTGTCATTCCGCTGAACGACCTTATATGGGCCATCGTAGGGAGAACAAAGGGGCTTGCGCATTGCGTCATGCCGGACGAAAACAAAGGGGGCGGATCTAAGGTCCTCGTGTACAAACACGTGTTTCGAAGTCAGACGAGTGGAGGTTGGACGCAGTGGAGCCATGCGTTGATTCAACTGCTGTACGAAGGTGCTCGTGATGTTATTGTTTGTTGTGGAAGGCTGCACAAATTCGCCGGGCAGACGGAGGGGTGTGCCGTACACAAGTTCGGCGGCCGTGCATTGGATGTCCTCCTTGACAGAAGATCGGATGCCCAAAAGCACAAGAGGGAGATTGACACTCCCAGTAGCTGACTCTGTTTTGGACATCAGCGCGGACTTCAGTTGGCGGTGTAGACGCTCAACGAGACCGTTGGAGGCAGGATAGTATGCCGTGGTTGTGATGTGCGCGCACCCGAGCAGTCTAGTGAACTCACGGAAGAGGCTAGATTGGAACTGACTTCCGCGGTCGGTGGTAAGGGTGGCTGGCACACCAAAAGTTGAGATCCAGTGGGTCAGAAAAACCATGGCGATATTTGCTGCCGAGGTATCCGAGATAGGAACGGCAATCGGTCATCGTGTGAAACGGTCAACGGCCGTCAGGATATGTGTGTACCCACGTGAAGGGGGTAACGGTCCGATTAAATCCAAGTGAACATGATTAAATCGAACATCCGGGACCGCAAAGGTACTTGGAGGGGAGATAGTGTGTCGATGAACCTTGTTCTTCTGGCACGCGAGACTCTGTTTGGTCCAAAGAGCAATGTCGGAATTCATCTTCGGCCAAACAAAACGAGCCGCGATTAACTTACGTCCAGCGCGAATGCCAGGGTGGGAGAGGGAGTGACAGTGGTCAAAGACGACCTTACGATAGGATAGTGGAACAACAGGACGAGGGGTGCCTGTGGACCAATGGCACAAAATCGTACCTGGTGACGCAGGAAGTGGTGCATCTCGAAGCTGCAGAATAATAGACGTACGTAAGTCCGCGATGGACTCGTCTGCTGTTTGGAGTTCTGCAAGCCTCGCCAGGTCGAAATCGGATGTGAGTGTGTTGATGTCCGGACGGGATAATGCATCAGCAATGACATTGTCGCTGCCTCGGACGTAGCGGATGTCGGCAGTAAACTGCGAAATATAGTCCAGGTGACGAACTTCCCTGGGCGAGTACCGATCTGGCTTGGCCTCGGGCGTAAGTGAGAGGCTTGTGGTCAGTGTGGACCGAAAAGTCTCTGCCCTCTAAAAGGTGTCGAAAGTGACGTATGGCCAAGTAGACGGCAAGGAGCTCGCAAGAGAAAGTACTGTATCGAGTCTGCGCCGGTTGTAGCTTCTGTGAAAAGAAAGCTAAAGGCTGCAACTGGTTATTCAACTGTTGATGCAAGACTGCGCCGACAGCACTGGTGGAAGCGTCGGTGGTCAAAATGAGCTGTGCATGAAAGTCAGAGCTGAGGTGGTGCAGCATGGTAGCATCGGCAAGAGCCTTTTTCGCGTCCTCAAAAGCTGTATGGGCTGCCGGTGAAAGTTCAATAGGTTTTGCTTTCGACTTCAAAAGGTCAGTCAAGGGAGCCAGGATTGCCGCACAATGGGGAATAAAACGTCTGTAATAGTTGATAGGGCCTATGAAACGTCGCAGCTGAGTGAGTGTGTTGGGAACAGGGAAAGACAAGGTGCATTGCACCTTCTCTGTAAGTGGAGTGATTCCGTGCTGATCGACGTGATGGCCAAGGAAATCGAGAGAATTAACGCCAAAAACGCATTTGTCGACGTTTAATTGCAAACCGTATTGCTGGAAACGATCGAATATGCGGCGTAAATGCGAGACATGTTCCTCTGCCGAAGAGCTTGCGACGATTATGTCGTCGATGTAGGCGTAAGCGAATGGAAGGCCCCGCAAGATATCATAGAATAGGTTTATTGTAGCGCCCCTTGGGCACTGTCAGTCGCCTTTGAACTCAGGAAGAAAACCTAAAACAAACTCGTCAATTTCAACTGCACTTTGACTTCATTTGCTTCGGGTGTCTGGTTAGCCAAAAGAGCGCGAAGTGAGAGTTTGTTTTAAGTTAAAAAACCTCAGTTCTAAGGGAAAATAATAACAAAATTTTCAAAAAATAACGATATGTACAATATAAAAATTGAAGTTTGCAGTTTTGTAGTTTTCGGGGGCATGAATAATATGTCCTTCATGGCAATTGATGAACTTTGATATCGGCCTGACCTTGAAATTATTTTCCTGTTGGGTAAATTTCGGTTTGCTCTAGTTGCTGGTTGTCAGTCTATCTGGCCAGCTGTAAGGGGGCGGTCGCGCAGTTCCTACGTATTTTTCAGGAGGCTTACCATCGTTGTCTGGACTAAGAGCCGGAAAAGATGAATATATATCAGGAGTAAGAAGCATTCAATGGTAAGTCACGATCAAAACTGTCAAAATACTATTGAATCATGTATCATATTGTTCTTGTTAATGTGAAATTGTAGGAGTAGTGGTCGACTGTTAACTATGACCTAATATAGTTCTATATATGTTTAATATGGCTTTAATATAGAAATACGCACGACTAATATGCAGGGTTTTATCGAAGGGTATATTTTTATTAGCTTTATAAGGGATATTTAGTGTCAGGTGACATAGCTGATGAAAACGAGAAAGGGACCCTAGTAGCAAACTATATCGAGTATATATCTATTAGATATCTATTTATCGACATATATATATCGATTAGATATCTATTTTGACGCAAACATAGATATCTATTAGATATCGATTAATCGAAATACTACGCTATCGGCGAAAAGAGGGGGGGGTAATATGCTACGCCCAATGCCCTTTTCTATCCCCCATCCATTCCTTGTCGTGTGTTTAATCCCCCCTGTTACCCAGAGGTACTTTGGAGATAGTTATTGTGGAATAATTATATTGAAAAGTAAAATAGTTAGATATGTACAATGCTTTGCTGAATCCTTTCCGTGATCACTGTGTTGACAGATGCCGGCAATCAGTACAAGCTCCTGGGATGTTGTCTAAAATTCAGAATAAGTTTCGATAAAATGCACTCAATTAAACTTACGTCTTTAGTTTTCTTAGGACGTAGCTGTCCAGCGACTTTTCCAGTCGTCTACATTGTGCCCACCAAGGCATGTGAGGCAGTAGGTCTAACGCAAGAGGGAGTTATAAATTGGGCAGCATACCGATTGGTTTCGGAAGCTTTTGTCCAGTAGTTGGAAATAACCTTCCAGTGGCTCTCAGTGACATCGATTGTGGACGGCAGTGTTGCCATTTGCTTACATATCAGAAGAAATATACGCATCTGATCGCTAGCTGATGACACTTTTGGAGAATAAGTTCAAGAAGTCACATTACCGTCGTCTGTCTGGTCGCCCAAAGGGATGGTTTCGAGTGTCATCGGCGTTCTCCTGGCGCTCCTGAAAGGTATAACGGCGTTATTTTCCATCACTTACTGGAAAGCCTTGTTTCCATACCTCTTAATACGACGTAATCGTGTTCTCCGGGATTCCTGCCTTAACATGGTTAACATAGAACAGTAGCAAACAAGAGATATAAATGAATAATGGCAAGTAAGTGCAAGGACTGTCAACTCACGCGTTCCACGCCGCTCACGCGAAATAATGGCGCGCCCGCGTGTGCTCGCAATCGATAAACGACTAATGAACGGCAACCAATAAAATGCCATATTGCTTAGGCGAGGTGGCCAATTACGTGACAGACATACATATCTCGATAAATCGCTATTCACGTATATCTACTCGATATCTATTGCTACTAGGGGAGGAAAATAGAGGAATATCATTATCTGTTCTATGTTAATCAATGATGCTTTCTTTTATAAATTTGATTATTTTTAGTGCTATGTTCCGGTATTTTTCAATCGGCTGGCATCATCAGAGCCCTTTTGGACCAAATTCAATATCAAAGAATTGACTTGAAAAATGTCCTATCTTATTCAAAAATAAATATGTATTGTTATTTGAAAGGAATTTCTTAGTTTTTATTTTAAATTCGATTAGGGTTCGACTTTTCCGGATTTAACCTGGAAGAGAATTCCAGATAGCCGCATATCTTATGGTGTAGAAATTTGATCGTTGGGACTTTGTGAATTTGGGAATCTTTATAATATCCTCGCTATTTCTGGTGTTTCTAGGGGCGTTTTGGTTGGTAAGTTAATTCATTTTGAGAATATCTTGATCATGGGTGACCTTCAATAGGAAGTTTAGACCATTTTTAAGTCTTCTGATCCAGAGTGGTCGAAGACCGTATTTATGATATAGTTCTAAGTAGGAACCCTGGATGCCATCACTTCTAGACAAAGATCTAGTAAACCGTCTCTGAATGCCTTCTAGTTTCTTTAGGCCGTCTGAGGGCATTATGCCGAAGAAAATTGAACAGTAATCTAGGAGAGGTAAAACATACATTTTGAACAGTTGTATTCTTAGTGCATTTAAGGTGAAATTTTTACATATGAATCCACACAGGCGAGTGGCTTTCGGTGATATTTGTTGGACGTGGGGAGATAAATCAAGGGTATTTGTATAGCTGAGACCTAAATCTTTTACAGATTGGGCCTCTGTTATTTCATCATCCTCGAATATTATGGGGGGAAGTTTTTGTGGGCCAAATATCAGGAGATGGCATTTTTCGGGTGAAAAGGGCATCTGCCACTGACTACTCCATTCGCTGAGTTTTCTGAGATCAGTTTGAATTGTTCTATGAATATTGGCTACTGTATTCCCGTTATAAGCATATGCAATTTTAAGGTCGTCCGCATATAAAAACGTCTTAGCTGAGACAGATATGGACGATAAGTCGTGAATATATATAAGAAATAGAAGGGGGCCTAGGATAGTGCCTTGAAGTACTCCACTGGTAATAGGGGATGGTTCTGAAACGACGTTTCGAATTTGCACCACCTGGTATCGGTTTTGATGATAAGATTTAAGAAAATCAAGAAGGGGTGGCCTAATTCCATGACTTTTTAGCTTTATCAGTAGTCTTTTATGGGGGACTTTGTCAAAGGCCTTTCTTAGATCGAAGTATATTGAAGCTACTGTGTTTCCATCATCTCTATTGCTGGAAACGAATTCCAAAAAAGTAAGGTGGCAGGACTGACATGACTTTTTGGGCAAAAATGCATGTTGAGAGGAGGGAATGAGGTTGGCGTTCATGAGATGGTCTAGCAATTGGTTATATACTATTTTCTGGAGGATTTTAGCTATAGCCGGTGTGCGGAGAACACCACGATAGTTTTTGGTATGAGATCGATTGCCGCTTTTAAATATGGGCGCAATGGTCGAGTATTTCCACATGTCCGGAAAAATTGCATTTGACTGGAGTAGGGTGAATAACTTAGATAGGAGTATTGGAGCATATGTCATATGCTTCAGAATACATGGTGGGATTTTGTCTGTCCCATAGGATTTGGTGTTTGATAGTTGTTTAATGGCTACTTTAACAGTTTCTTCACTAAAATGGATCTCACTAAGGATGCGTTCAGTCATCTCGGTCGGTTGGGGGATGGTTCCCTCTTCGACTGTGTAGTTAGCTGAGAAGTATCTGTTGAATAAGTTTACTATTTGTTTATCATTGGTTATAACTTGCCCTAATTCATAAATAATAGTTCGTGGTCCTGACTGTCGATGATTACTCATTAGTTTCTGAAACATCTGAGCTGTTCGTTCGGGGGATTCTAGTGCCCGATGTTCTGCTGCTATGGTCTTTTGTGTTTCCATTTTCGTGACTAGGTCGTGAATTTCCCTAATTCGTCGAAGTGTGGAAAAATAACTCACAGAGGGGTCGCGTAGCTGTTTTTGTAGCTTTTTTAGTTTAGTTGAAAGGAAGTTCAGGATTGGTGATTTCTTATACGGGAGTCTTTCGTCTATCAAGGTATCTCGAATAACAAATAGGACAGAGTACAATAGGTTAACTGCTTCCATAGGGGATGTTGTAAGAAGATATGGGCTCCAGTCCAATGATCTAATATAGTTGTTCATGGAGTCCTCGTCAAGTTTTTTTGGGTTTAGGCGGGTGTTTCCAAAATGGGGTGCTAGTTTTGCGTTTAAGGGGAGTGTTGATATTATTGCTTTGTGGTCACTTTCAAAGGTTGCGCAGTCGTAGTGCATATAGAGGGGCCAGATATCGTTGGTGAAAATAACGTCTAGTATATTGTTTCCTCGGGTGGGTTTGTCAACTATCTGTGTCCAGTTATTAAAGATAACTGAAGACAAGAATTCTTCGTGCTTGGTAGGTGCTGATAATTCGACCCAGTCTATTTCTGGGCGGTTTAGGTCGCCTGTAATTATCTTATATTCAGTTTTTATATTAGCTATATTGCTTATTAAGAGGTTGAGGCTTGTGTCATCACTACTACATTCTGGAGGGGAGTAGAGGCATCCGACTAATATGTTTTCCTGGGCATGAGATTTTATTGTGGCAAAACACGCTTCTCCAGAAAAGGTTTCGGTTGGGACATCAATACCACTTTGCTCAATGGTAGTTTTTATGTAGATAAGAGAACCTCCGCCTCGTTTATTAACACGGTCCTGTCGATAGAAATTATAATTTGGGACATATAGTGAAGCATTCGATATAAGCTCATTTGCCCATGTTTCTGTAATGCAAATTACATCGGGGTTATATATTTCAACAAAAGTTCTTAGTTGGGATATTTTGTTTACAATCGATCTGGAATTTATAAGAGCTATCTTTAGGATGTTGGATATGGAAGAGGTGGGCTCTGGTGAAAAAAAAGGATTTCTGGGGGTACTTTGAGTGAGTGATGGACTAAATGGAGGTAGGTGTGTGATTCTCGGAGGATATGGTGATGCGTATGGCGTAGTGTGAGTGCATGGGCTAGTGTGTATGGACTGAGGGTACATATGGGGAGGTGCGTTAACTAGGTGGTAATTGTACCTAAATGGAATTTCAGTTGGGGAGGTGTAAAAGCCAAAGTAATTTGAAGGGTTGTAATTAGGTGGTAAGGAGTTTGCAATGCTAGAGTGATTTGGCTTATTCCTATGCCATGCAGGTGGATTTTGGGGAGTCGAGATGCGGTTAGAGAAGCTTGTTTGTTTTTGGTTAGAGTTTGGTGGGCTTCTATTTGTTATGTCAACATACCTTGGGCGTTTTGGTTGTGTTGGTGTGCTTAGTAAGGCCTTTTGGTTTATGCGTCTTGTTTGGTAGTCGTTTTCTAGTACTGACTGATCGGTCTTGGGGGATGTAGTAAAACTTATACTGCTATCTAAGGGTGTCACATGACTCGGTCCGGGATCTGCATCATCGTTTTGTTCTGGTTGAACGTTGTTATTTTGTTGTGCCTTCCTCGTTTGTTTCTGACCAGCAGTTCTAATTGTTTTTGCAGTTGCGCGTTTTTTTTCATGAGAACTAGATTCAGACGTACTTGCTGGAGGTCCTTCTGCGGGGGCTGTGGGTTTATCATTTGGTTTGCGCTGGCCTGTGTATTTCTTTTTATTAGGGCTAGAAGTAGAAGTAGTGGCTGAAGGTTCAGTTGAGGGACCGGAGTGCTGATTATCGTATTTGTAGCTGGTGTCTTTTTCCCGTAGTTTACGTCTTTGCATAGGTGTCAAATCTGGACCTATAAACGAGTTTAGGTTCCGCAGATTTCTGTTTACTTCGGGATTTTGTAGGACAATCTCAGCTTCCGCCTGTGAGCAGAATGTTACTAAGACGGGTTTGTTTTTGCTTCTGGAGTGAAGTCTTTTAGTGTTAGCTACTCTGATATTTAAGCCACACGAATGTATAAAATTTTGAATTGATGGCATCGGATTAACAGTGTGGGGTATACTACGGATAATTAAATTGAGCCTGCGTTTCGATCTATCCGCGACTTCTGACGAAACTAAGTGTATAATCGATTCAATTTGTGGTAGGCTCGTTAGGTTGTTCGTGAATCTATTTGAGTCTGTTAGTGAATCGAGAATCGTAAAAATATGTTCATGTTTCTCGATGAACTTCTGTAAACGGACGATGGCCGAAAGATCTACTTTGTCGACAGCAAACGTAACATCAGTCATCGTTAAATGGGGAGAGTGTAATGGATTTATGTGTTATTTTCGACAGCTAATAAAAATCGACGCAAAATCGACAGAGAAATATGTCAAATATTTCAGTTATAAATGAATTTCAACTTATCTCGAGTCTAAGTGTAATGAACCGTAACCTCACGCGAGCGATGAAGCGCTGAAACGACTGGGCAGCATTGCGCAAACCAAAAGGCATGCGAATAAATTTGAACAGCCCAAAGGGTGTCGTGATAGAGGTCTTTGGGATATCTTCCTTGGCGACCGGGATTTGGTGGTATGCCCTGACGAGGTCTATCTTGGAAAAAATAGTTTTACCGGCTAACATGTGGGAAAAGTCATGAATGTGGGGAATGGGATACCGGTCAGGGATTGTGGACCTGTTTAGGGCTCGATAATCACCGCACGGTCTCCAATCGTCAGGTGACTTCTTTGGCACCATGTGCAGTAGTGAGGCCAATGGGCTAGATGATGGGCGTATAATGCCCAGATTCATCATATGTTCAAATTCGTTCTTTGCTATTCGGAGCTTGTCAGGGTGGAGTCTACGCGGAGGAGCGTGCACTGGTTGCCCTGCCGTGACAATTTGGTGTTTCACTCCGTGTTGAACGGTTTCGGTAAAATGACATGGTTTAGTGATGGACGGGTAGTCCTTCAAAATGTCAGCGAAAGGGGTGCTGGGGATGGTGACATGAATGCCAACCGACCGTTCAGAGCTAATGGTACCTATAGTAAAGAGTTGGGTGGTGGTGTCTGAGAGGCGACGGTGTCTGACATCGACTGTTAAGCCGAAAGATGACAAAAAGTCGGCCCCGATAATGGGCGATTTGACGTTAGCCTCCATGAAGACCCAGTGAAAACGTCGCCGGAGACCAAGATCTAAGGTGAGGGACCGTTGGCCGTAGGTGCTGATTGTGGTGCTATTTGCAGCCTGCAATGAGAATAGAGATGGCTTGAGGCGGTGACGCCTTAGAGGCGGGATGACACTGACCTCGGCACCGGTATCGACCAGGAAACGAAGGCCGCTCGACTTGTCGTTGATATAGAAAAGGCGACTGAGTCGCGACGGGCCAGCAGCAGTCGTCGCCATTACTGGCTGGCGCGGTCGTTTAACTGTGGAGGACAAGCAAACGAACAAGGAGGTATGCACTTTCGGGCTTTCGGGCCATAAGTGCGGTGATACCAACATAAGTGTTGTGAACGCCGCTCACGGGATTTAGACCGACGACGTGAGCATGGCTGTTTTCTAGCCGCTTGAAGACTGTTAAGCGCAGAGCACATGTTGCTCACCTGAGTGCAAAGGAGGCGCACAGTGTCTCTCAGGTCGTCGTAATCGGCGCGATAAGCGGCGGTGGGTGTTCTGGGAGGACCGGCTGATGTGGGCGCGCGTCGGGTTGTGCAACAGCATGACGCTTTTTCCGTATAGGGAGTGTCGTGCTCTGGTAATGGTTGGCCTTCTGAATCAGAGTCAATGCCCTGATGGGGCTTGCCTTTGGAAGGCGGTGGCTGTTGAATAGTGGAACACGAGACACCAATGGGGTAACACTCTTTGATTCGGTCAGCGTGGGTAGGTAATTCTCTAAAGGTGTATTCGAGTCCAACATGGCCAATACCTGTTGCATAGGCAGCGATAACTTTTCTAACCAAATCTCGCGAAAAATGGCGTCGTCAATGTGCCTACCAGCGAGAAGTGAGCGCATGTGACGCATGAGCTGGGAAGGTGTCTGATCACCTAGCTCTACTTGAGTGAAAAGTTCCCGCAGCATAAGGTTGGCCGATTTAGCTACCCGTTGGATTACCGCTTCCTTCAGCAGCGTATACGGTTTGTCGGCTGGAATGGGGTCAAGGAGGTCTTCGACGGTGACAGCTACATCAAATGGGAGTGACTGCAAAACGTACGAATAGCGAGTTCGCTCGCTAGTAATGCGGCTTGTCACAAAAAGAGCCTCGATCTGCCTGAACCAAACGCGAGGATTTCTCGGGGTAAACGGTTGCAGTTTAAAAGAAAGGGATTTAATGTCGAGTGAGTCTTTTTGGGAGTCGTCACTGGCCATGGTAAATAGAAAAAGGTTCGGAATGCAGGAAAAAGCGGGGTAACCAGTTTTGTTGTGGAAATGTGGACTTAGAAACTACAAACAGGAATATATGCAGAAAAAAACTAACTCCGAATGGGGGAATTGTGTTTACCAACAAAAAGGAACGTACAGATTGAAAGAACCAGACAAGGAATGTTCTAGACTCCCGTAAAGTAGAATCCTATCAAGTAGAGAGATAGTGTCCCGATGAGGAACTGCTTGAAGGAAGGCCCTAGGTTCCGCGATGATACGTCGAAGTCGGCTTTGAGGAGGAAGTCTCCGTCAGCACGTACGAATTACTAAGAGTATTGAGAGGTGACAAGCGCACGCCAAGAAATAACGACGTCAAACACACTCGAAACCAGAACACATGTTGACCGCCGTAGCGTTGTTCATGTGTATTTTCCATTTAGTCAAACAAATGTACAGGCAGGTCAGGTGTACAAGAAAATGTAGTGAAACAAATCAAAAGTGTACAAAAGCCTACAACTTTTTGAACAGAAACGATAGTGTTTTAGACTTAATTTTTACTAATGGCACCTTCCCTTTATCTATGGATTCTATCATGACCTTTTTGCTAGTGATCGTGCATTAATCCATTGTTGCCTTCCAGTTGCCATTTCCGCAAAGCCAAGAGTACAACGTAGTATTTTTGACTTTGCTAATGCGAACAAGAAATTAGTAAATAACTTTACATACACTCTTATTGGCACAATATTTCTTCAAATAATCATCTAATTTTTTTCAACAATTTATTACCATGCGTAACAGAAGGTCTTCTTGACCTTATTCCTCGGAAGATGTTCAAATCGAGTGCTAATTCCACCGCTGTCCCGCACTTTCTTAAAAACAGACTTAAAATTTGCGGAAGCAGTTTAAAGATCCTTCTGTGAGCTCATTATCGGTTTATCTAAGAATCGTTGAAATATTTGAACTAGCTGCGAAAATGAGGCTCGCGAGAGATAGGCGTAGAGAGTCTTCAGCTATTAATGACATGAACGCTTCTACATCAGTTGCTCAGATCTTACGTCAAAGATTATCTGCTAAGTCCCACCAAGTCATTCCGCCTTTGCTTAGTACTAGCGATGCCTTTATTACAGAGGTGTCAGGCAAAGCAGAAATTTTAAATTCTTTCTTTGCCAAACATTTCACTATTGAAACTGACCCAATCCCTTCAATGCCTCCGTTGTTTGATGCTTCTTTTAGAATCATTAATTTTTCTCCTGAATGTATTTAAAAACTGATAAGCCATCATCCTAACTCGCATGCAGTAGGTACGAACAATATCCAAAATTCTTTTATAAAACAGCTAAGAGATTTTCCTCCTCTGCTTAGCAAAATATTTTCAGTATTTCTCGTAAATAGATTCTTCCCTGACTATTGGAAAACTTCTATTATTATTCCAGTATTTAAGTCTGGCCGTCGATCTGACGTACAGAGCTATCGAGATGTCCATAAAACATCCTCACTCGCCGAAATCTCTGGAAAAATTATCGTCTTGAAAACTACCGACTTTGACATAGCCAATCAAGTTAGGAGCCCTTCCCATCATGGTTTTTTACCAGATCGCTCTTGTAAAACATGTCATCTGTCGTTTCTCAATCTACTTTCCTCTCTTCGTAATTACCATCTATCTGTCGTCGTTATTTATTTTGATCTTAGTAAAGCCTTTGATAAAGTACCACATAAAGGACTCTTGGTTAAATTGAAAGCTATGGGAATTCGCAGTCCACTAATAGACTTTCTCAGGTCATACCTGTCTAATCGGAAACAAAAGGTTTTGGTGGGATCTTCACTTTCCAGTGAAAGCCCTATTGTAAGTGGTGTCCAACAAGGTACCGTTTTAGGTCCTCTTTTGCTCTTGCTTTTTATAAATGATATTTCGGCAGCAGTTAAACATTCACAATCATTTATTTATGCCGATAATTTCAAATGTGTATATTCTTTCAAAAATTTACGAGCCTTCATTGCCTGGAGCAAATCCATGCTGACTTGCTTGCTCTCTCAGCTTCGAGCTCAAAATGGCTAATGGAATTCTCTCCGTCTAAATGTCGCTATATGTGTTTTGGACCTGACAGACTACCCCAACCAGTGGTCTTTCAAGGCACACCTATGACAGAATGTACCACCATCAAGGATTTAGGTTTACGCTACACTAGTAATCTTGATCTCTCGCCACACGCTGACAGAATTACAGCCAAAGCTGCCCAGATTTGTAGCTTTATTTCTTACAATTTCTATCTTCCTGAACTTAACTTAAGGCTCTATTGTATGTTTGTGCTTCCCATTCTCGAGTATTGTTGCCCATTCTTTTGTTTGATGAATGAAGCCAGTCGTTTAAAAATTGAAAATGTCCAAAGACGTTTTTCTAAAAAACTTTTAAATAAGGAACATCCCAATATCTCCTATTCAGATAGATGCCAGCTAATTAACCTAAAATTTTTATGGTTTCGAAGACTAGAAGCAGGCTTTTGTCTCCTCTTTCGCATAAATCATAGTTCAAATTGTCCTCGGATTTCGGCACTCACCCCTAGTAGTTGCCCATACAATCTTCGCAACTCGTCCTTGATTATACCTCCTGCAGCGTCCTCCACCTCTAAGCGCTCCCTTTTTTCGCTTCCAGATATACATTCCCGTGGAATAACCTTCCAATAAATATAAGATCTTCAGAAAATCCACACATATTTAAGAGAAGGCTACACCTTTATCTGAATACTAACTCGATTAAACTTTTATTTTCTTCATCATCCCCAGACAACTTCTTCTATGACACTGAGAAATGGCCACCGGGAATTTAGTATACCGTCATTAAATTTCCGCATCTGTTCACATTTCCTTCCTTTGTGAGTAGTCTCGATTCCTAAGATCCCTCCCCAGAAATGTTAATTTTTCCAGTTTTTCAGTTCATGCATCGTGCCCTCACAGAATGCGCTCCATCGACGCTCTTGGCAAAGCCTTCTGTATTCGCCATATACTAGTAGTCTGGTCGTATCTCCCTTGCCGCATCCTCGGATGTACTCGGATGAGTGTAACCGACCGCATCTGCGTTCCTATCATCTCGAGACTGGTTTTCAATTTCGCCACTTATTTGCCTTATTCAAGGCCATATACAGGCCAGTCCTGACCGACACGCCAACTTACCCCTTCATGAAATCCGTTATACAATGCCATATACAGCTGACATTCATTTCGGTCCTGACGATGTCCGATTATAATCCATTCTATACCGCCACATGCTGGCCAGTCCTGCCCGCATTTTTCTGTTTCTATTTTTTTCGAGAGGTTTTCTTCTCCTGTAAAATTAATCCGATCATTTTTAAATTTTGATGTGGAGTTTTTTTTCACCCCTCGTTTATCATTTTTCTTAACGGGTTTCTAATTCAAAAACTATGTATTGCACTTTGTACAGATTTTGCCTACCTCGTCTAAAATTCGCATGTAAATTCGTTTTTACTTGTTTTGATGGGACCCCGACGGGTCTTTAATAAAAATTATTATTTATTTCTTTGCTTGCTGCTGTAGAGCAGGTTATTTTGGTGATTTGCCGCCTATCCAGAGGAATACAAATCACTTCCCACCAAGGTTGAGAAAAGGCGACATTAAAGGCCATATCAATGCGATTCTCCCACAAATTGTTGATCCTAGCATCCTGCGGACCTTAACAAAGACGTCCGTTTGATTTGCAAGGTCCCAGTGCACTACCCTAAGTCAACAGGTCAGCGTCTGCTAGCAACAACACAGGCGACTCCCATCAGGTTTCGAAAGCCAGTCTTATGCACAAAGAATAATCTGGCACATGTTCCACGCCTACCTTGACCAAATGTCGGTTACCCGTTTGCACATTTCCTCGCCCTCACACCGCCCCATAGCTCTCATTGCCAGCTAATTCATTGTCCTTTATTGCTCTCCCTCTATTCTCACGTCTTACATATATGAAAAGACGAATTGCTACTGATTTCCCTTTTTTCCCACAGTTTGCTTGTACGCCATTCCTATGTAAATGTATTAGTCTGGT